TAGCCCAGGATGAAGGAGAGAAATAGAGGTGGATGGGAAGGGAAGGGAATGGGGAGGTTTGATAGAGAAAGGGTAAATGGTAGGGCCACATCCACGGAGCATATTGCAAGGGTACAAGTCAAATCTATCAATAGAAGAGAAATGTCTTAACACAATAATTAAGTAAATGAGGTGAATGCTATGTTGATTAGTTTGATGTAAGCACTCCAAATTGTATAAAAAATCAACACATTGTGCCCCACAAATGCATAAATGTATTCATGATCTATGTGTATATGACTTAATAAAAGGAAAAAAAAATAGAAAATATGCTCACTGTTCTTAATCATCAGAGAAATGACCAGTGAGTCCCTGGTCTGTTAAGTTTTCTCATCTGGATTCACAGTGGGTGAGTCTCCGGTCTGTTAAGTTTTCTCCTCTGGACTCACAGAGGGTGAATTCCCAGTCTGTTAAGTTTTCTCCTTTGAACTCACAGGGGGATGAGTCCCTGGTCTGTCAGGTTTTCTTCTTTGGACTCACAGGGGGTGAGTTCCCGGTCTGTTAAGTTTTCTCCTCTGGACTCGCAGGGGGTTAGTCCCTAGTCTGTTAAATTTTCTCCTCTGGACTCACAGGGGTTGAGTCCCTGGTCTGTCAGGTTTTCTTTTTTAGACTCATAGCGGCTGGGTCCCTGGTAGGTTCCTGTTCCCCATGTTCACCCCTTCCTATGTTGGTGACATTGTTTGAAACCTGTCAGTCATTTTTATATTTGACTTGTTGATTCCAGTGTTTTATTCAGTGTCTCCTCAAGGGCTGGACAAGGCCCCAGTCCACTGACCCTGAACACTTACTTGAGTGGATCATGGATCAATTCTTTCAGGGAGCTCTCTTAGGTTTCAATCCAGGAGAGGCCTCTGTGTTTCCCTTCATCCTCCTTTTTCTGGTAAACTGATCATTTACTATCTCTGAGACTGGTCATCACTTTTGTTTGTATGTGTCCAATATCACTTACTTCCTGGTGCGCTCCTGACTTGTGTTTGTTCTGCCCTTTCCAATAGTTTGTTGGAATTCCTTTTGAGGATTAGTCAATTTTGAGTTTGGGTCTCAACATTTCTGTTTTCTTGTCTTTACACCATCATCCTGACTACAGGCACGACAATAAGAATGGAAAAAATCCTCACACAAAGTCAACATAGCTGACTAAGTAGAGCTTCACTGTCCCTTAGAAAGCACCCTGGGTAACTTTTAAGACAGTCAACATGCCCTAGAAGCTGGCTGATCAATGCACCAATGAAGCCTGAGAAAACTCCTCAAGGATGTTAATTAAACTTTGACCTGAACTTTTGGAAAAGAGGGAAGGCTCACCACCCTCTTAACTTCCCTAACTGGACCCTTCCTCATATGGTTGCTTCCCCTCATCCTTGACCTGTGTGTAGTAAATCAATTAATAGCATATGTAAGATCTAGAATTGGATCAGTAAAACTGCTCCTTTTAAACCAAACCCATAAGTAAACCCCTCTCAATCAAAATGATTCAAATCTTTGAATCAGGAACACAAAACCAGTGGGGAATGTTAGGCCTAACGTTACTAGAAACTAGGACCACAGAGACTCCATTTTATGACAGCCCCCTTTGCCCATCCCTGGGTTAGACACTCAGTGGAAATTTTCACGGAGCACCTGAAGCAGGTTGCGCCTGCCCACAATAACCACCAAGTTGCACTTCTGTAAACAAGCTTGCTCAGCTTGCTAGACAACTAGAAAGTCCTGAAGCCCTGAATTCAACCCCCGCCCCTTGCACCTCTAACCCCTTTAAAAACTCTGACTGCTAAAGCTTGGCTGCTGTCTGTCTTGGCAGTCAGTCAATCTATCTAAGTAAAGGACTGTGTCACTTTTAAATTTATCTCAAGTGTTCTTCCTTTGTGGCTTGCAATTTAGGCACAGCAGTAAAATATCACAAGAATGGAAAAGCAACTGTCCACTGTACTCCATACTAATGGAAAGCCAGTAGACGATCTAGTACACACCCCCATAAAAGAAAAATTCAATTCAATTGAAGTTAGGAGGGAGGGGAAGCAGGGGAATTGGTGCTCTCTCAGCTAGGGGGCACAATGTGGGTGTGTATGGCACACCTTCTGGGTGAGGGGCACAACTAGGAAAAGGACTCCACATAACAAATGCAAAAATTGTAACCTATTGTTTGTACCCTTGTATTAATCTGAAATTTAAAAAAAGAAAAAGAAAATGCTGTATGATACATTTACAAATGTAATACATTTCGGTTAAGCATTGATGAGATTAAATCTATTGCCTACAATTAAAAAAAGAAACCTTATAACTTTTACCATTCCGATAGCCAGCAGTTGAATATTAATCTTTGTTTTCCCAAGTCCAGGTAGCTCAATATCAGGTGGTCACTCTGTGACTCTACCCATTTCTATGGCAAATAAACACTTTCTTTTATTAATCTATCTGAACTGTGATTCAATGTCACAACTAAATTCCTGGGGACAGGGCAAGTTTCCCCTCCCCTTAAAGTGTGCAGTGTGTTACCATTAAAGCAGCAGGTGGCCCATGTGGGCGTGGGATAGGGAATGCGTATTCTCCTAACCTTTATGGCACTTTGCACTTAGTGTAGACGGGGTGTATGTTTGTGTGTGTATGTTTCTGTGTGTGAAATATTAACTATAATATTTTTAATTCTTTCCTTGCCCATCAAGGTAATAAATGTGACTCCACTTTGTGTTTTTTATTATTAAGTTCTAGAAAGCTCAATCAAAAATTTACTGAGACATTGCATTTGTTTGATTCCTTTCAATGAATATTTAACTTGCAAAGAACCTATGACCTTTAATATTAAAATTAATTTTTAACTTCCATGCCTAAAGTTCCTCTCAACTCTGCTCAGTGGACACTCAGACCACCTGCAGACCCCGCGAGGAGTCATGGTCATGGCTTCCCGGCGCTGTGTGCTGGCAGTCCTGCTGCTGCAGCTCTGCTGCTCTGGTGGGTTCGGCGGGAAGGTCCTCGTGTGGCCCTGTGACATGAGCCACTGGCTCAACACCAAGTGCATCCTGGAGGAGCTCACCAGGAGGGGCCATGAAGTGACGGTGCTGACCCAGCCCCAGACCACTCTCCTTGATTACCAGGCACCTTCTCCACTAAAATTTGAGGT